TTATGATTATGAGCGTTATGGTATTCCTTGTTGGAGGAGAGTGTGTGTAGCTGTTAAAGAAGGAGGAGGTGATCCAGCATTAGCTGATGAAATAGCTCGTGAACATCCTCTACCAGCTATGCCACCTGCAGGATCAACTAGTTCAAAAGGTACAGAGAAATAATAGTTGAGTGTTGATATCAATAGTATCACTGTCAGTGTCACAGTATCTATATGGGGTAAATTTGAAGCTACTTTTGGAATAAGGCATGGGCCAGATATTGGCTCATTTTAAAATTGGCCTAACTTACAAACTTGAGCTTGGAATCAGCTCAAACTTTCTACATAGCATAAGTACATGATTTACATCAATATGTATGATGTATCAATAAATGTTGTGTTGATTTCTAAGCCATTTTGGGGAAAAAAGCATGGGCTTACCCTTGGCTATGGTATACCGGTTTATATTTTGGCCTATTTTTTTAATGGTCATTATTCAAGAAAATATATACTGTCAGAATCATCTCAAAATTTCTACACAGTATGAGGATATGAGAAAAATGCAATAAAAATTTGGGATGATTTTGAAGCCATTTTGTAGATAAAACCATGGGCTATAGTACCTGGTACCGTAAATGTTCAAATAAAGGCTGGGCTTGAATAAACGCCTGGTACTAAGAATCTTCAAGTATAGATACGCATATTTTAATCAATATAAGTACCACACTCTTTAGAGTGTCCCAAATGGCCTAACTTGTTAAGCTGAGTGCCTTGAACCTGGAGGTCCGGGTTTGAATCTCAGTTTTACTTTTTCTTTTTTTATTTTACGCAATTTTTTTCTCCTGGAAAGAAATAAACGCCTGGGCTTTTATTTGAACATTTACGGTAATTTCCTTATTTTAAACTGGCCGTAATTTAAAAATTATAGCAAAAAATCAGATACCGTATAGCTTGAAATTTTCATGGGTTGATATTTTCGTGGTTTGCTCCTAGTGGGGTAATTTTTGGTTTAATTTTCGTGGTTGACAGTTTACATAGCCTGTAAGGGGATGGCACTTCAATGATTTTGTGGGTTTAAATTTCGTGGGCAGCCCATAACCACGAAAACCACAAAATTTACATTCCACAAAAATTTCAAGCTATAAGGTAGGTTGTGTTGGGTAACCAAATTATCTCCTTTTTTGGTATTAAATAAGCCAGTTATTGCTTTTCCATAAGTTGAACATGAATATCATTATCAAACAATAAATATAATTATGTACAGTTCTAGTCTCAGTAGTGAATGTCATTTGAATTTGACCCAATATTACAGGCCTGTAGCAAGCACCTCAAAAGTGGTCAGGCCTAGATGTGGGTGTGTCAAGGTGTTGGTGTGGCAACAAAAAAAAACAACTTATTATAGGCATTTGTTGATATTCCTACTTCACAGTTGGTATGGAGCTGGTGGAAGAATCATCTGAGATTGAAAAGCAGCAGCTCTAGTACAAGAATTAGTCATTTTAAGTTGTTATTTGCCTCCAATTTAGTGGTTATTCATTTAATTACAATAGCAATATTTTATAAAAATAAAAAAATTCTTAAAAATAAAAAACAACACCCATTAATCAAGCCCTGCCTCCTTGCCACACCCTTTTTCGGGCTAAAAAGTGGTATGGCTCTAGCTGTACCAGCCGTACCGCTTGCTATGGCCCTGTATTAATGTTGATTGATGTTTACCAATAATACACTAGTCTGATGTTACATCAACACTCCATGAAAATGGTCATGAAAAAGCAAAATTAATTTATTTGTAAACTTAATAAATTTTAATTATTTGTTAAAAAAAACAAATTTCACAAATGTATATGTTATGATGACATGCACAGTCATTTGAAAATGATTTCATTTCAATACATTTTTTTATCTTTTAAAGAAAAAAGTGTCACTCCTGTAACGGATGAGGTAGCTATGTCACCAGCAAGCACTAACAGAGCAACAGGTGATTTATTATTCACTATTTCATCAAGTCATAATAAAAGAACAAAGTGCAGCCTAGTATTTTCTATCAGTATCTACCTATCATGCAATATTTAGAGGATAAAGTGATTCTTAGTTACCCTTTTTGTCACTCATGCATGCAGTGATGCTGTATGTATGCACATACAAAGATATGGCTATAGCTATTATACACAGATTACACACGCTTATACTTATGCATTAAAACACTATGAACTTTAGGCTAATAAATAGATCATTTGTACTTTTAGGCACTAATGGTCTTTCTTGGAAAAATTTTGACTTAGCAAGCAAACTGCATGATCTACAAGAAGAATTTGATGAGGCAGTTAGAATAACAAAGAATTCCTTTGAATCAAGTGATCTACCAGAAATCATTGACTACCTCATTACACACGCAATGTCATTACTTGGTCCTAACAAGAAACAACAAACAGCAGCTCAAGAAATTGTTTACTCAGTTAAAAACGACTTTGAACATATTGAAACCATATCAGATTTATTTACCATATTGCAGCACAAATACATGTCATGGTTCAACTATAAACTAATGATAAAACTTGTTGGAGTATTTCTAGCCAAAAATCGTTTGTTAAAAAGAACTTGGTCAGCATATGAAAAGAAGTTAAAGGATTATTTTATAAACAGTGGTGGACTATTGAAAGATGCTGATGCCGTAGAGTTTGGTATAAAAGGTGTTC